TTCGTGTCCCAACTCTTCCCATGAATATATGGTAACAGCATTATTGAATCAACCAGATGCAAGGTTGGTTTTTGAAAGATGGTGGCCCTTATTTATTGATCCCTGGCCTTTGGTATATTGCCATCATATACAAAAATTATTTCTAGCTATTACAACTATTTGTTGCTATCACAACTATTTAAACACACATGCACACATGTTTAAGCCAGTAGGCCCATCACTTTATAATGAATTTCATGCATTTTAATCATTCAAAAGAGAAGAGATCAGCTCATTTCTCACTCATCTGAGTCAAATGCACTTTTTTAATATGGTGATGCTTCTCTTTCTAAAAAGGACCGCATTTCAACATTTATGTGGTGACGTGTGGACCCTAACTGTTACGCAATTGTATGGTATTAAAACAGAAATATCTTCTTAGTAGGTTTTCCCCCTATCCTATCCTATAGCCATTCCCTATAGCTTGATTAAAAGTATTTAGAATCTGACTCTGACTCAATAAGAAAAATGTTCACATCATTTTCACAAACTGATCAATGGACTTCATCCGTGCCTACGTGAAACTGATCCGAGTGATATCTTCAGTTTCTTGGCACATCAGCATTTACAGTTGTGTTAGTGTACCATCTTAACAACCTGGTCTAGAGCCATCAACAACAAACACCTTAAGTTTATTAAAAGCAAGCAAATAAAACCTTGTTGGAATGCTTGGAGAGGTCTAAGGATGGAATTGGCACCAGTGCAATGCATTGATTATGTTAATGAGTTGAAAAGTTCACTGTTAAATCAAGTCTGCTGTAGTATTCATCTAAATGCAACGGAGAGCTACAGTTTACAGCAATCTCACTGATGCAAGCAGTCACACTTGTGAAGGACAGAAACACCAGTGGATCCCAGTGGGTTACACTGTTATTTAGTATGAAGAGGGGCTTCTTTTTCTTTCTGTAATACTGTCTGCTCCCAGCCCCACAGCCAAAATAACATGTTCTCTTGTAAGAGAGAAATATCAGCAGAAAGGACTAATCAAATGGGAAAAATCCCTAAATGGAGGAACCAGTCTTCCCAGAAAAATAAATGCACTAGTAAGGATGGAATGGCCTCAAAAAGTGTACTTTGAGAAGTCCATGAGCCCAGTGCAAAAAATAAACCATGCTTAAGCAAACCATGTGATGTGAAATCCAGTCATCAATTCTGATAGTACTTTGCATGGGCATAGAGTATTGCAAAGAATTCTACATATACTATATTATAGGCATTACTTAGCAGTCTTATAAATTTGTTCAACATCTTCCCATATTGCAGGGGAGGGTTGAAACCAAGTACAAACCTTTTCACTAAAGCCCTGAGTAAGTTCATAACAGGCAGGTGAGTCAAACTAGGAACTTTCAAATTCACATCTCATGATGTAATTGCAACACCATTAGACCAACTTTTAAACGCTGCCTGAAGAATTCCAGACCCTGAGTTATATAACCTGACATTCATGCCTATCAACTCCAAGAGTAGCTATTGACTGGAATGGCTGTTGAATCTTGTCTCCGTATTAGAGACAAAACAGTAATTTCCGCCATATCCATAGAGAACATGTTAGTTTCTAGTGTGCATGGAATGCACAATGTGTAGCATTCATAACTGAAGCAGCTGTCTCACCTTTGCTAAATAGCACAGCCAACCCTACAGAACTTTTAGCAGAACTGGAAATCTTGGCCAAAGCAGATTTAATGAACATTTAAAAAAAAAAAAAACATATTCCATTATCCCTCTATATTTGCTGGCAAATATTTCTTGGCAAAACCATTTATTTACTATGCCATTTATTTTCTTTTGCTGGGTAAAAGTCAGATTCTTTTTGCTCTTCCATTTACTTTTCCTTTTCTTTTAAAAAGCTATCTAATAACTCAGCTGTTTCAAAACCCTCATTAATATCTTCTCATTTACTAAATGGCTCTTCTTCCTCCCTGGAAGTATTTGCAGCTGAGTTACAAAAGCACTTTCTTCTTCCCTTCAAGTAAAAGGCAACTAAGTCTATTTAAAAAAAAAAAAGAAGAATCCTGCTGTTTTCTTTTCCCATTCCATCTATTCAATTGAATTGAATTTTTACCATATGACACATAAAAATGAATCATTTTAAATAATTTACAAAAATCTATTTCTGTAAATCTCCAAAACAAATGAATAAGCTCTATGCAATTTGCTCGCGATTTTCATTAATCTTCCCTCATTTTTAACTGGCAAGAAGCTAGATTATGTTTGTCCACAGGTAACAGGTGTGCTATTGTTGTTTTGGTTATCATAGACTCTGAAGCTAAGATATATTTCGCAAAGCATTTAGAGACCATCTAATCATTGGATTGCATTCTTATTTTCCACTCATGCCCAGCTAATTATCTGGGGAATCAAACTCTTCCTAAGAAAGTTGGGAAATTTATCCTGCAGTTTACTTGTAGAAGGAAGTCCGAAGAATCAGAAAACATGGGAAAAATTGCCCCAGTAATAAAAATCACTTGAAAGCAAAACTAAACGAGATGTCGCTCAGTGACACAGCCCAATCAGTTCAATCATTTCATAAGGGGAAAAATCTATGCAAGCAAAGGACAAAAACTATTCTCTTAATTGAAAAGACTGACTTTATGTATGCATCAGTGTGTGTGTATCTATCACAACAGAATCAGAATGGAAGATAAAGAATCAGAACCACCTTCATTAAGAAATGTCCAATATGCGATCTCAATCAATTCCAAGTAAGGAAGCAGATAGATGCAAATAAACTGAAGCTCTGAATTTAAGAATTTAGTTTTTCAGGTAGGGCATGAGAAAGTCTTGTCTGAAATAAAGAGCAGCTGCCGTCACTGTATAGGAAGGATAACAATGAGGAAGATAGACCAATGATTAGATCTGTAAAAGGAGGTTTCCAACGTCTAGTGAAACAGGACCAACGAACATAGGAGAAACATGACGTCAAATTTCAGTTCCAATCTTTTCATGTTCAGGATCAAGTAGGAAGATATAGAAATGCCTGGAATGTTGGAGAAAGGAAGCTGGTCAGAATGGACAGCCCTGGGATAACTGAAAGGGTGTCACTCAACCGAAATGCATGGAGAAGCAAAGAAGATAAGATAATTCCTCCCTCCTCTCTGCACAGATGTATAGGGCTGAAACATATCACTGACACCTGCAAAAGAGCAAAAGTCATTCCCTCAGGACTTTGGAGCAAAAGTATCAGAAGTAACAGCCATCTTTTTTTCTTTTCAATAGCATTAGTGTGAAGCCTCTTCTTCCCATATATCAGTATCTTCGTTTAGAATAGAAAGAAAGAAAGAAAGAAAGAAAGAAAGAAAGAAAGAAAGAAAGAAAGAAAGAAAGAAAGAAAGAAAGA